CTGTTGCAGGGCAAGGGTTTTTGTCATGCCAACTTTACTTCCCCAGGGCGTAGCATAAGAAGGATTCAATAGTACTTTCCCTGTTCAAAGCACTTTACATATATTCACTCATTAAAGTCTTATGAAAGGATTAAGGAGATATACTATTATTGTTATTATTATTTTACAGATTAAAGATTGAGGAACAGGGGGCCGGCCCGGTGGTACAGTGGTTAAGTTGGCATGTTCTGCTTCTCGGCAGCCCAGGGTTCACTGGTTCGGATCCCGGGTGCAGACATGGCACCGCTTGGCAAAAGCCATGCTGTGGTAGGTGTCCCACGTATAAAAAGTAGAGGAAGATGAGCATGGACGTTAACTCAGGGCCAGTCTTCCTCAGCAAAATAGAGGAGGATTGGCACTAGTTAGCTCTGGGCTAATCCTCCTCAAAAAAAAAAAAAAAAGAGGGGCTGGCCCCGTGGCCAAGCGGTCAAGTTCGCGCGCTCCGCTGCAGGCGGCCCAGTGTTTCGTTGATTCGAATCCTGGGCACGGACATGGCACTGCTCATCAAACCACGCTGAGGAAGCATCCCACATGCCACAACTAGAAGGACCCAGAGCAAAGAATACACAACTATGTACCGGGGGGCTTTGGGGAGAAAAAGGAAAAAAATAAAATCTTTAAAAAAAAAAAAAACAAAAAAGATTGAGGAACAGAAAGTTAAGTGACTTTTGCCCAAGGGCAAAAAGCCATTAGTGATGAAGCCAAAATGTGAACCCAGGTGTAGCTTGAGAGTAACCCTTAACCATTAGAATATATCCTATTTCAAAAAGCCAACGCGTATGGTGAGTTTACATGTGTCAGCGGCTGATCTGGGTGCTGTATATACATTAGCTCATTTAATATTTGTTGAATACAACATCGAGCACAATGCATTCATTAAAATGGTATATATACAGAAACTTGGCTTGTCTTAACACAGAAAAATGTTATTTCCTACCATCAAAATCACCCATAATTGAAATATTGTAGTAATGATAAATCCAAACCATGTTTCCCCTACCTTCTTATTAGTGTACTCTAATGAACAGCATCCATTTCAAAATGATTAAACAGAATTTCTGGTTTAGTCTAAGCTTTGAAAAATGTCTTGTTTTTCCGTATGAAATGAAGTTGCCTATTGAAATGGTGCCTATCATCTTAGCTCCATGTACATCACATTCAGCAGTGGTTCTCCATCAGCATGACCCGAGGATCTCCAAGCACTAGAAAGCCAATGTGCGCAAAAGTGAAGACAACTTGCTTGAGTACAGCCAAACGACCTAGACACTCAAGCGGTAACTTTAGGAATTATGAATTACATGCTTGACAATATTAATAGAGCTTATGGAGGTACTTAATTCACAAAAAGGGAAGTGCATCAAGATGGATGTACCAGATTCAATGCCATTCCTGTCAAAATTTAAATGGCATTTTTCATTGAACTAGAACAACTAATTCTGAAATTTGTATGGAACCCCAAAAGACCCTGAATAGCCAAAGCAATCTTGAGAAAGAAGAATAAAGCTGGAGGTATCATGATCCCTGATTTCAAACTATACTACAAACGTATAGTAGTCAAAACAGTATGGTAATGGCATAAAAACAGACACAGGTCAATGGAACAGAATAGAGAGCCAAGAAATAAACCCACACATAAGTAAACAATTAATTTATGACAAAGGAGTCAAAAATATACAATGAGAAAAGGACAGTCTCTTCAATAAATGTTGTTGGGAAAACTGGACAGCCACATTCAAAAGAATGAAACTGGACCACCATCTTACACTATACACAAAAATTAACTCAAAACGGATTAAAGACTTGACTGTAAGACCTGAAACCATAAAATTCCTAGAAGAAAACATAGAGGATAACCTGCTTGACATGGTCATAGTGATGTTTTCTTGGATGTGACTCCAAAGGCAAGGGAAACAAAAGCAAAAATAAACAAATGGGACTACATCTAACTAAAAAGCTTCTGCACAGCAAAGGAAACCATCATCAAAATGAAAAGGCAACCTATTGAATGGGAGAGAATACTTGCAAATCATAAATTCAATAAGAGATTAATATCCAAAATATATAAAGAACTCATATAACTCAATAACAAAAAAACAAACTGATTAAAAAATGGGCAAAGGATCTGAATAGACACTTTTCCAAAGAAGACATACAGACGGCCAATAGGCACATGAAAAGATGTTCAACATCATTAATTATTAGGGAAACGCAAATCAAAATCACAATGAGATATCACCTTACATCTGTTAGAATGGCTATTACCAAAAAGACAAGAAATAACAAGTGTTGGAGGGGATGTGGAGAAAAGGGAACCCCTCATACACTGCTGTTAGGAATATAAATTGGTACAGCTACAATGGAAAATAGTACGGAGATTCCTCAAAAAATTAAGAATAGAACTACCATATAAGCCAGCTATTCCACTTCTGGGTATTTATCCAAAGGATATGAAAACGCTATTTTGAAGAGATCTACACATCCCCATATTCATTGCAGCATTATTTACAGTAGCCAAGATATGGCAACAACCTAAGTGTCCATTGATGCATGAATGGATAAAGATGTGGTATACATATGCAATGGAATGCTATCCAGCCATAAAAAAGAAGGAAATCTTGCAGTTTGTGACAACATGAATGGAACTTGAGAGTATTATGCTGAGTGAAATGTCAGACAGAGAAAGACAAATCTCATCTCATTTCATGTGTACGTGGAATCTAAAAAAACCAAAACAAATGAACAAACAAGACAAAATAGAAACAAACTTATAGAAATAGAGAACAAAATGGTGGTTACCAGAGGGGAAGGAGATTGGGGACAGGCTGAAATGGGTGAAGGGGATCAATTGTATGGTGATAGATGGTAACTGGACTTAAGGTGGTGATCACTTTGTAGTGTATACAAATATCAAATTGTAATGTTGTACGCCTGAAATCTACGTAACGGCCCAATTTTACCTTAATAACAACAACAGAAGACGGATGTACCAGGATGTTCACTGTAGCACTGTTTGTAATAGGGAAAAATAAAACGCTTAAAATTCCATTAGTAAGGGATTAACTGAAAAAACCCCAACATTCATACCATCGTCTGTTGTGGAAGAGGAGATCGACATAGACAGCCACTTATTAAGTCAGAAAAAAAAAAGATTGCAAAACATCACGGTAGACGGTAATTTTCGTAAAAAAATTATTAAGTAGAAAAACACTTTACACAGAAATATCATAGCACAAGCATAGAAAAATATTTAGTTGACCATGCGCCACACTGCCCACAGCAATTCTCCGTGAGGAGCTGGGGTCGCAGGGAGCTTCCAGTTCCTTTTAGATACTTCTTCATTGTTTATATGTCTGCAGTGAAGATTTGAACTATTTCATTTGGTGTATAAAAAAGTAAAGATACTTAGAAATAAAAACCAAAGAGGAGACAGGTTATATACTAAGATAATCTGGTTCAATAAATATTGTTAAAGAATAATTTTTTTAATGATAAAATCATGACTCACATACAAATATATATATATTATTGATGAGGGAACCAGTAAGATGTTACAGTTCGTTCAGAGGACGAGCCAAAGAACAGGAGCATTTATAGAACAGGCAAATGGAGAAGAATGTGCAGACGGAGACAAAACTGGCTTCTCTAGTGACCTAGGGAAGACAGCGGAACCCCCACTGGACAGAATTTATGTACATGTCTAGAGACAAGAATTATTCTATGTTACCGTCAGCCTTCCACAACTTACAAAGTTGTAAGATAGCTCAAAGGAAAGGAACGATGCAAAGTCCACAAGAAGTCAGAATACGAAGGGTGTGCTTGTCTAAGAAATGCATCCTTTTCCATTGCAGCACAAATTCTTCCCTAGAACATTAAATGATAACAGCAGTATGCTTGGTATACTAGCTGAAATTAGTCTCTGGTCTTTGTTTCAGTCTTATTGTGCAACTTGGGGCAAGTGGGCTTCAGTTTACTCACCTGAATGTAAAATGGGAATGATAATATTATTCATACGCGCCTCACTGAGATGCTGTTGGATTAAACAGAAGCTGCTTGTTAAACACTTGGACCTCGGCCTGACTTCCAAGCAGTGCTTGATGAAGGTGAGCCACTGTCCTCTTCTCAGCTGGGTGCAGTTATTCACCTGACTTCGCTGCTGCACAGGATGGCCACCTCCTGAAGCTAGGGCCTCCAGAGTCTGGGATTTGTCAGGGAAACGTGCTTTGCCTCAGATCAGGGCCACATTGTGGGAAATCTGTTAGTTGGCATCTTGACCCAACTTGTCAGCTCCCCTGGGTCCTAATCCTTTTACCTTCCCTCAATTTCTGGTACCTTTTAGGTCCTTTATACTACGTACTTCCATTCTTTCATTTGGTGCTGGTCCCTAGTAATTGTGTGTTCTTTAAATTTTTTGGCCCCAATCTTCTCTCCTACATGTCTTCTGTCTAGGATAATGGTACTCAAACTGCTTTTCAACTTTCTTCTCATGTCTTTGCCCTTATCCTGGGGTTGAGGGAAGCTAAGTTACAATTTGTAACCACTGTTGGAAAACATGAAAAGTATATTCCAATTCCTTTTCTGGTCAAAATGTATTCCCGACCTCTCTCCTTGCTTATAATACATTAAATAGTAAGCTTAATGAGGAAGTTTGTTTATTTTCTATATTATAAACCCTAAGGGGACTTTTATTTTTACATATTCTAATGTCAATAAAAACATCAACCTCAGATATCCTCAAATATAAAAAGACAGGAAGTTTTAAAACATACTGTAAGTTGCTGTTTAAAGCAGCAATTCTTTAGACAGATATTTTAAATAAAAAGTGAGGCCTTACATACAAAAAAATTTAAGTTGGGGGTTGAAGTAACAGTCAATCAGAAAAGGTGTCTTATTCTTGCTTTACAGGTGAGGGCTCTGTGAGCTTTTAATTTTAAAAGATGAGAACGGTCTGAATACAATAGAAATTGGAACAAACTAAAGCTGGGAATTTCCCAATGATTTTATTGAGGTAACTTTTCCCAATTTTATACATATATGCATTTATATATATTTAAGAAAGCTAAACAATGTTCTAAGGCACTTGGAATTGTGCACGGTAAAGTATCCGATAATATTATACAACTAAATAGAGCATAATTTTGCTTTTTAAATAACACAAACACCAGTACGGAATAAAAAAAGATAATACATAGTCTTTCTTTCAGGTTACAATAGTGGAATACATGTACATAGGTGTGTATACTTGTAGATATTTATACCCACACACTATAACACAGTACAGGCCAAGAACAACAAAGAGAGAAACTGTCATGTCAATCAGAGTACAGTTCCAGTTATTCACACTCACAGATATTATACCTGTGTAACACGGAGAATTAGATCACTCACTGGAAATCAGAAATCATTCAGTCTGATAATGATCACAGCTTACCATTCTTATCACTTTCACCAAAGATTGAAATAACGAAAGAACGCCTATGGTTCTTTATTTAAGAATCACTCTTACACAGAAAAAAATAATGACTAGTTTGAGTTTTTGGTAGGTACTCAGTCTGGTGAAATCGGTACAGAATATTTTGAGCACATTGGCACATTTCTAAGCCATAGAATATTTAAAAAAATAAAAATAAAAATTAGTGCCTACATTTTAAGTAATGAAAGTGGTTTGATCCTAGATTCATTCAGATAGTCTTCAAACACTAGTTAGCATTGCAACAGCGACTTCTCCTTGTGGAAGCTCTCTAAGCAATGTAACGATACAGTCAAACTATAAGAAAAGCATGCAGTAAGGGAAAAGCCCCCAAAACTCGCAAGTGGCACAAATACTATTGGCATTTTAATATACCATAAAATTGACCTGAGGGTGGAGTGGCATTCTGCTTCATTTACTCCCTTCAATTTATTCTTAAAAAATATATACCGGTATTTAACAAGATAAGAATTCTTAAGCACCATCTAAAAGTTCACAATATAATCACCTTTTCAACTTTGAATTGCTCTGTCTCAAAAAAGATATTTAGAAATTTTAATATTTTAAAAAACTACAGTGGCTAAATTAATTCCATTCTATTAGCCACAATTCTTCCAAATCATTTCAAGACATATTTACCATTCAGTTTTCTTGACAAAGAGCAACAAAGAGAGTAAGTACGTTTATGTATTGTTACTATAGTTTAATAATGTTTCACCTAGGTAAAACTCATCTTGCTTTGTGTATGACCTTCATTCAAGAATGAACAATATGCACGCAATCCAGTTAATCCACATTTCCTTTATAATTCAGTTTTCACAAATCTCAGGGCAGATGAACCACATGACTATATTTCTACAGGGAGAATTTAAGTATTTGCTTGTGGATTAAATGTTTCCTTCATAGGATAAACAGGCAACTGTTCTGGAACTCATGGGATGCAGTTTACCCGGTGAGGTCTAAGGGTGATTTTCACAGACCACATGTTTTTTTATGTGGGTTGTTAGTCGCTGTGCTTGTGGTTAAGCCATGCAACAATCCTCATAAGACTGACAAGGATTATGACCAACAGTGTACTTCCGAAGTATAATTGTGAGGCTTAAAAAAAGAGAAAAGTCTGCCTCATGTGAAATCTCTCCTTTAAGTACTTACAGGGACTAACCAAGTGATGGTGCCCACCAGAACGGCCAAGGCTGCCCAGCAACCTGCTCCCTGAAGCACCGGCAAATTAAAGCTGCATCAAAACAGAAGTCTTGAAAAGTGAAGCGGGAGGAAACAATTCAGGGCCCAAAGAAAGACAAGGCAGTCGAGCCGATGTTTAGAGATAGAAACTTTTTCCGGTGTGTCCTCAAATTGCAGTAGACATTGGTAGGCAAGGGAGGTGGGGAGGTGGTCCTATCCTCCTCGGAGAGCATTTGATCACAGGGGAGAATTTTTTACTTTTGGTTTTTACAAAGCCTTGGCACGCTCTTGGCGTATAGTCAGCAGGGACCTAGGATATTAAACACCTTGCAACGTGTCGGACATTTCTGTACAACAAAGAACGCACAGCTCCCAATGCCAACAGCATCCCCACTGAGAAACACTGATCAACGGTGCTTTGCTCATACATGTTGCTGTGCTAGCAATGCGACAAGCTAAATGACATTTTTGTGCAGCAAATCCTAGCACGGCTAAAATGATCTGTGCCTACAGGGTTGGCTTTTGGTGGGAAGAGCTGCCACAGAATTCTTTTGGGTTTTTTTTTGCCAGAAATCTTACTGCATTTACAATGGCATTTCTTAATGTGGGATGACCCTGTCTTTGAAAAAGCATAAGTGGACTATGTTTCTGTTGTTTTCTAGAAATGCTAATGGTAGTTCCCATTTCCATACATAGCTTAAGCTTAATGATTACAAAAAAAAAAAGAGAGAATGGTTTGGGAGTATTCAACCCTTGTCGCCACTGCCCGTGGGTCACTGCCAAATTATAATAGAGCCTCAGGCACCTCTTGGGAACTTGGGTTTGAACTATCTGGAGATCTGCTTTCTCTCAGAAAGATGGTCCTATTTGATGATTACTTTTGCCATTGCATTCCCCTCTAGGACATAATCCAGTTCTAGAAGTTCATTCTGCTTTGCTAAGTAAAACAATGTAATATATCCTACCAATAAGTAAAGAGCAAATACTCAATAGTGTAACAGTGGAATAGTGAAGCTATTTCAACAGGCCAAGGGACAACTTTGTAAATAAATTGCATCTTAGTGGTTCCTTGGTGCTCACAACATATTCTAATGACGTGAAGAAATTGATTCTCATCTCAAAGTATATACTTTTCCTAGTCAGGTTAGACTTAATAACGTGACTGGAATTCAGGAATGCCTAAGCCACCACAGTGATGAAATGACATAAACATATATCTTGTACCAGTGATTCCATCTCACTTGCTCTGAGCAGGATTTCTGACTCTGTGTGAAATGTTCTGCTGCGATCACAAGAAATAACAAACTGAGGAAATTTCTGAGCAAGAAAGGAGGAAAAGAAAGCTTTCTCTGTTTAAATATGGACATACTACTGCGTGGTAGACAAGACTTCCTTTTTCTAATGTGAATACAGTATAACTTTTGAAAGTCGCATCTTTCTGATTCTACTAAGAATAAATACCATGTTTGTTATGTGTTAAAATGTGGTACATAACAGGACATGCAGTGTTAATGCTGATTTTTTTTCCTCTTTCAAGTGTAAGCTGCTGCGTTTTTTAAAAAGTACCAAGGCGGCACTGAATTAATTACAGGGTGTAAAACCCAAATATGAGTTTTAAGGTTTTCTTTAAGGTTTTAAGGAATCTCTTGTTTTCAACACCTGATGATTTTTGAAGGGTGTATGCGATTCCCCTACTTCCTTAAATAGATTTTCACTTACATTTCAGAAATTTCTACTAACAGAATATATTTACTAACATGAGAGAAAGATAAGTTAACTACAATTACTATGCTAATAAAGGACACAAAATGAAACCAGGAAGTCAGTTTTTCTGGATAAATCAGAGACAGATGAGTTTGCTTTTTCCTGTATTTAAAATAGCTATTCAAATACCCAAAATTGTTCTCTGAATAGTATAGATTTCATTTAAATAATTGAAGGAATTAACATAAAGGTAAACTATGTCAAACATAAGAAATGCAAGACATTTTACAACCACAGGAAATTATCAGGCAGGGCTGCCTTAAATTAACGCTGGTCACCCAAGAACTAATTTTGCAGACTGGCTGATAATGACCAGGAGGATGCTGATAAAGCCACAGCGTCTTCTTACCACCTTAATGTTAATGTTCCTTATCTCTACTTTAAGAAAGATGAAAATAGGCAGTCTGGGTTTTAGAGTCTGTCTAGTTCTTTCCTGCCTGGGACCTTCCTGGAGATGGGTTTGTTTTCTTCCTTAATCACATCCTGGGGACTCAGGAAAACCCACTCACTTCCTCTATGTTGAAATAGGGAAAACTTGGTGGGGTGTTACAACCACCCAATTCACACACACACTTATTTTCTTTATAGAATTGCAGCTGATGGGCTGGATTGCAGAAATGCTGGAACTGGGCCAGCATTGGCGAGTGGTCCACACCTGTGCATTCTTTTAGGGCGGCCAGGCAAGAACTTCTGGATGGGCTGTTGGTGTGAACAGGCATCGTTTCTGCCTTTTAAAATTAGCTATTAAAATAGAGCCTTATTCTGCAAAATACGGCTTAGCTCATAATCCTTCGATTCTTTCCACAGCTTTTTCTTTAAAGAATCAGTCTAATGAAATAATTGGTGGGTCCAATTCTTAAATATTAAACTAGCGGTGGTTAATTTTTTTTGACTTTTTAACTTCTCTCTGACTTTTGAGCTTTTCTCTAAACGTGTCAATCAGTTACAAAGATAAAGCGTGGGTAGTTCACAAATCTGACATCTCATACCAAGGAAACACTATATTGAGGTACCAGATTCTCATTTCTGTACTGGGTGCATCTCAATGTATCGAATAAGAACTGCATCACATCCACCACAAGTGGGAAAAAATTCTTCCTTTTATCAACCAAATAGAGACTTTCTATGACATGCACCTTGAGTGATAAAATGGTGATAATGTCTTATATTTACCATTTTTATAGAGGTCTGTGATTAGAAATTAAGACAATGTTTAATGATTACAAGTATATAAAATTAAAACAACATTAAATTCATTGGTACTTTTCCCAAGACTCTAAAATGATAATAAGATATAATAAGGAAAAGGGTGACCGACAAAAAATTGGAATAAAGTTAATATGTATGGCTGGATTTAAACACTATGAAATGGACAAAACTTCAGCCAGAGAAAGACATTTGGGTTTCCAGAAAATTTTTTCAAAGCAAAAACATGTCCTTGTCCTATTAATGAAATAACAACAGTGCAGAAATCTAGGTTTATTTTATTAATACACATAGTTGAGTGCAGCAAGAGGTGAAACAATGCTGGTTACTTTTCTTAGTTAGAAAATGGTCCTGGCTTTCTGTAATGGGCCAATTGAGGCTAAAATTTTTTATTTTTAAGCAAAATCATCCAATTTCAAGTGGTTCTTTAAAATATAAATGAATGGCAGGATCCACATTTATCCACCAGATTAAATGCTTGCTTTTTTGGTTGAAATAAAAAATTAGTCTTCCATATTATAAATCAGCATCATTTCAGAAAATTTTAGTCCAAGCTCTGAGAATAAAATAGTCTATTTAGGTCTTATCTTGTTATTATACATCTCATGTGTTTTTAATAAAAGGGGCACAAAACAATCATGAAAGAACAATTAAATGCAAGGTTGTATTTACATAGGGTCATATGTATTTGGGAGCAGAAGCCACGCTGTGCCCATGACTCCATGGAAAATAGCAAGATAGCAACAGAGGGTCTCAAAGTAAACAGTACTGACTGTAGGCTCACCAGGAAACCTTCCATAACCAGAACCCCACTGACTTTTGCACTGAACGTCAATGCTGTATTTACGGACGCAATCAGCAGACTCTTAAAATACAAAACGAGGGTCTCCTCACTTGCAACTTAGCAGAAATTTCCTGTGGTCTTTTAAGCCTTTGGGTGAGTATTTTTTTGATCCAAGAGCTTTATTTTTTTAATAGCAGCAATCCAACTTAACGCAGCACTAAAAATAAGTAGTCCTTTGCATTCCCACTCAGAGCTAACGGCTGGCAGAACACTTGCATTTTGCTTAAGCTTTAACTTTGGATTGGGATTTGTTTTAAAGGTACAGTGATTGTCGATATTATCTTCCTTAGCTCAAGAGTGGTTGTTTTCACTTTGGAGATAATCGAGCTAGGGAAAGGCCAAAAGATTTATTTCTAAAGCTTGCTACAGATTTATAGGGTCACCTTACATCTGACTTTATTCCCAGTCTGTTATCCTTGTGGAAGGTTGGTATATTAGGTAGAAGTATAAAAAAAAACGTGAAGTGTTTATAGCTATGCTACTTAAAGCATGCAACAAAATTTGGGTAAGCATGCTTGTTAAGAGTCAGTAAAAGCCTCTTGCATTTAAGAAAAAGATGCATGAAAACAGACTTCTTTCTGGCAATTAGATTCACTGGCACAACATAAAATAATGGTACTATACTGTACCAACATAGTATTGTTCTAGGATCAGGTCTTTCAGGAATCCATGCTGGGTCACTAGATTCCCAAATCCATCAATAAGTTCTCAGCTACCAAAAGCCTACTTCAACAATACATTTATGCTTCAATTCTCTCTTTTCTTCATTAACATAATGAAATATTTTTCTTTTGTTCTGATTTTCAATCCCCACCCCTTTCCAGGGCCCAGCAATTCCATTCCCCATTTCTCTTTTACCCGCACGCTAAAATGTGGCTTTCTGGTAACGGAGCCAGCGATTGTCTTCTGCTCGTTCTCTTTGATGAACACTCCTGATGAAGAACAACTGGTGCCACCATGGTGTCCCTCACCAGCAATACTCGTGCTGGACGGCAGGGTTGCCGCGCCCCTCCCTTTGCTCGTGGCCCCAGCTGGGCTGTCCAGGTGAGGAGCACTTTTCACACACTTCTTTCACCAGAAGTCCAATGGAAACACACACATTCAAATCCCAGTGCAATATCAGGTTTTCAGGAAGCAAGGCTTCCCCCAAAGATGATCAGTCTATGTTTTCAAAGGGTCTTGCATTTCACTACGGACGATGAAACCTGAAATAAGAAACAGGAATGCTGTGAGTTATAGTACAGAAGCACACTCTGCATTGGGTGAACTGAAAAAGGTACGGGAACGTTCATAATTAAAAGCAGCTCTGGTCACCCTCCAACTGAATGACTGTCACAAACTCCTGTTGTAACAGAATACTATCATAAATGTTATGTTGGAAAGAGAGACGGCCCCTATACACAAGGTTCTGGCGCTAGCATCCAGGACACACAGCAATCAACACACAAAACGTCATTCTTCTTGAAGGTCATGCTCTGACCTGAACTGAGCAGAGGGAGATGTTTCATAAAGGATTTGGTTTCACCTGGTTTGTAGTTATAAAAGGAAAATATCAGCAAATAGTCACTATTTCCTTAGCTTCAGCCTCTCATCACCTCCGCTCATGACTCCAAATCTACTTCCTACACCTGAATTTCCAAATGCCTGCCGGGTTTTTCCTTCCAAATGTTCCACAGGCAACACACAAGTATGTGCGTAACTATACAAATGATCTTTTCTTGTAAACGTGCTCTTGCGCTTTCTATCTTGTTAAACGGTCTACCTTTTAAAATATTTTTAGTCTAGAAACCTCAGATTTGCAGCTCATTTTCTCCTTCACCCTCCATATCCCAAGCAGTCACCAAGCCCTGCCTCGACTGCCTGTCTTTGAATTTGTCAAAGCCCTCATCACCTTTTGCTGACACTACTTTAACAGCATACTGGCCAGTAGTCAGTTTCATATCCCCCCAGTGAGTTCTGGAACATTCCTTGGGTTTTTGTAGCCCTGTGCTTTTGAACCTTCTGTACCTTAATAACTGCAATCCCCTTCCTTTATTTTCCACCTATGTTTTCATACTCAAGATCAAGGTCAAGAACCATCTTCTCCATTGAGCCTTATCTGATCTACCTGTCAGCCTACTTCTGTGATTCTACATTTACGGAACTCAATTTGGCATTTCATCTGTCTTGTATAATCTAATGTTCAGCTGCCCTAGAAAACCAGTCTCCTCATTAGTTTCCCTGTCCCAGGTTCATAGATTTGGCGATCAAATCTATTACTCCACACTGTCACTAGCATTATCATCATAAAATATAGATCCAATGATTCCAGTTCTTTGTTATTAACATTGTATTGTTCTCCATTCCCTGCAAAATAAAATTTAAATTTCTTAGAGAGGTGATTGAGACCTTTCAGGATGTGGGCCAACCCATGTTTCAAGCTGTATCTCCATCACTACTAAATGCTCTAAGTTCCCATCATTTGTCCCAAAATGCTCTCCACTTTTGTGCTCATGTTCTTTCCTTTGTCCTTGTCTTCTTTCCATCTCCACTTCCTACAACCTCATTCTGTGAGTTCCCCAAACTCCCTTTTCTCCACCTCTCAAGGAAGCATTAATTCCCTTCTCCTCCGTGTTCACATAACATTTGGTTTACACCAGTTATTTGTCACAGGCTATAATCTTTGTATAGGCGGCCTCTGCTCTTAGATCGTGAGACACTGAGGAAAGACTGTGCTTCGCACCTTTATATACTCATAGAATGCACTATCTGTAACACGGTACTAGTTGACAAATGTTGCTGTGTGGAATCAAAGCATTAAAAAATGGAAAATTAAAGACATAAGAACAGATGAAGCAAGACTGGCCATAAGCTGATAACTGGAGAAGCTGTGTGATGGATGCATGGGGCTTGTTACACTCCTTCTGCATGTTTGATTTTCCAAAAGTCAAAATAAAAATAAGATATACCAAGCTTTCCAAAATATTGTGACATGTGTCACAGGAGCATGTATCCACTCTGAGTTCAATTCTTAACTCTACCCCTGACCATAACCTTGGGCAGGTGTGTGACCTCCCAGGCTCTACATTTGTTAAATGGAGGCAATATGGCCATTCCAGTCGCCTGGGCCTTCTTTCTGCCCTTTGACCATGCACAATTCTTTCACCTCAGGCCCTTTGCACTAGCTCTTCCCTCTACATTAACTGACCCTCTTTAGGAGTGGAATGTTTTCCTCTCTCCCAACAGCATATGGATAGCTTCCTCTTTTCATTTAAATCACAGAATAAGTTTTACTTCCTCAAGAGACCCCTGCTTCCTGGCCATCCTATCTGTACTCACCCTTGTCCCTCTCATTGCATCCTGGTACACTTTCCTTATAGCACTTGGCACATCTGAAATGATCACGTTTATTTGTTTACTTGCTAATGGTTTGTCTCCCTCGTTAGAACATAACCATGTGACAATGAGGACCTTATCTATCACATTCTAAATTCCCAAGGTCCAGAACAGAGTCTGGTTGCCCTATGTGCTAATAAATACTTGTTGAATGCACAAACATCTGAACATATACAGGGGCACTTAGAAAGCTATCTGATAATTCTTTCTATACATAATTCTATCTAACTGAAGAGCCCAAACATGAGACCCCTAAAATTAATTACAATTAAATGTATTCTAATCTATGATAACCCATCTGATAGGACATTCCATCAAGCTTCCTAGGAAGAATCAACCATAATCTGAAGAAGAGTATGAAAAGTCTGTAAAAATATTTCAAAAGAGTAATTGAAAACCTCTTAAATCAAATGTTTCCTATAAAATGTGAAAGAGAGGCATTTAATACTCATTTCATACTCAAAGCAATCTTATGAGGTAGGTACTCCTGTATCCCTTTTGTACAGATGTGGAAACTGAGGCACAGGGATGCTAAGTCATGGACCTAAGGCAGAGAGCTGGTTGGGGGGAGACTCCAGGCTCCAGACTCTGTGTTCCTAACCTACACTAGACTATGAGACAAAAATATGCCTTCATTCATACTTTCCTTCACAGGGTTTTTTGGGTACCTCTGGGTAGAATGGCATGCAAAAGGTGATCAGGTGGATTTCTACATCTGTCAGTTAGTTTTGATCAGTTTTGACCAGAGAAAGGTCTTGTTCCACATCCCCCAGCTACACTTTTATGGCTAGAGTTGTCTCAAAAACACCTGCCTTTTTCCACAAAGGGAACTGGATGAGAACAGGCTCAGCACAAACGTTTTGCAATTACCAGCAAAGCAAGTCCAGTGATGTTCTTGGGGTTGAAACGAGCAGCACTGCCTCTCTCTGGGTAGGACACATGACAACTATCCACACCACACGGGGGACCCTGGGGACCCTGACAATACAGACTAATAGACTGCACCTGCAGGATCTTCACACCGTGCGCTACCAAAGCTCCCTCTTTGTTAGGTTCATCTTCTCTAGGAATTAAATACAAACTCATCTAATTTAGCAATATTTTAGGCCTCTCCAAATTTGCTGGGCTTCACGCACCAAACATTCCATAATGTCCTACTCTTCGTTTGATCCTGGAATCAAAGGACAAGCGTGAGGGAACCTGACGGGAGAGCCTTTCTCTTCCCTTTAGTAATGTCTGTGGGATGAAGAAGGTAACTTAAGAATTGGGCTGGGCAAGAAAGTGGGTAGTCAGTGGACCAGGAGCGATTTAGAACCTTCTAAAGCCCAGCATCTTCCTGGAAAGTGTCATGCTTTTAATTTCCAAAAATTAGTGGGACACTGTAAGATTTTTTCCCCTGCAGACACTATTTGCTCATGGATCCCATTAGAGAGTGACTTCCACCGACTGCATTGCTTTGCAAGGTCAGGTCATCAGCACAGCTTCAAAGGCCAGCTCAGAGAAGAAGGTCAGCAACCAACATTGTGGATGTAATAACACGCTGACAAAGCCCGGGGTCAGATACACAACCTCTTCGCATGGACCGCCCAGATCTGGCAAAAAAAAACCCCATATATTTTCTTGCACTATCCAGTTAGAAAAGGACATTTACATCCTGTTTAAATTAGGCATCTTCAAATTCAGCTCTAAAATTTTATGGTTAGAGTTACTGAAAATGCAAATTGTTCTTAGGTTCGTTAGTGCTCAGCAGTTTGCATTCATTTTGAACTGTAAGAGGTTCAGCTTCATCCCCTGAGAAGCCTGACTATCTGACAGAATGACAGTTTGGCTTTAGGCTTCGAGCTGATGGAGCAATAAATAGATTTACTGCACCCTAAGGATACTCAAGCTTTCTGTCCACCCTTTTCTCAGAACTTCGCTGAGACTCAAATTTGAAGTTGTCTATATTTTCTTCTTCTTGTTAAAACTGCAATAACTTTTTTCTTATTTTCATACTGTTGAGAGGGAGTGCATAGGGGAAAAAGCTATTTTTAAGTCATGGAATTCAGGTAAAGATCATTCTTTTCCATAAAGATGGTTCCTCTACAAATTAACATATAAAAATTTACTCACTTTCCTGTAAATTCGTTCAGATGAGATAAAACATAAAATGATGCACAAATGTGAAATATTATTTCCTATACTTCCCTATTTGATATATACAGAAATCCTGAAACAGTGATTTACTTTATCTGGAAATCCACAGAGGAGAGTAATACCTCAAGACGGTAGAGAATGAGATAATTGCTTTAAATACACACACACATAGTTTTTCAACACAACCACATTAAGAAAATTGAAAAGTAGAGGAAAAAAAAAACTATAGCCACACTCTATAACAAAGCATTACGAGTTTTTGATGTCATTTCCTAATCTTTTTTTCTATGCATATGAATTTTAAATAAAACACACCACTGCTAAAGATAGCTTTAGTCAGTATCCTGCTTTTTCCACTTAACATCATGCCAATGATCTCTTGAGGCCCATTTTGAGTGTCAATTCAATCATTCTTTGTTTAACATAATAAGCCAATAATTTATAAGCTAATAAAATATGAAAGTACTACTTTACGCATGCTAAAAAGGGTTCCTACTTACAAAATTCAAAGCTTATTGTTTTAAAGTAATATTCTCTCTGGATTATAAATCTGATATGTACTGACACAAAAAATTTTTTGGAAAACAGAAGAAGATTACAATTACCCATAATTTTACCACTCAGCTGTAACCATTTTAAAGTTTACTTTTTAAGTAAAATTTGACCCTTCACACAATTTGTCTCTATAATTAAGAGGATTATTTTGTAGAAATTCCATTTACTATGGAAAGGAAAGTGGCTTTTCTTGGCCATGGTGATCTCTTTCCAAAAGCAATGATCCTGTTGAATAATACACTGCCATTCAAATGGCCTTTTGGCCTTTAAAGAGTGGGCTGGGTGCGTAGCTGCTGGGAGGAGAGAAGGCAGCATGTGGCCAGACAAGCAGCAAGTGTCTAAAGGAACTGAGGTTAGAACTCGGTCCCTCTCAGGCCACAGGATGAATTCCCCGTGGGACGCTTTGGCCTCACCCTTGTCACATGGCCCAGGAAAGTATTCCAATTCCAGAGGGCTATCTGGAAAATACTGGAGAAACTGGGGGAAGTAGACGAGAGGGTGGACGACCACAGTTCTCCACGACTACAGACCAAACACGCCACAATGCATCCCGTGATGGAGGGCTCAGAGGCATCTTCTCGGTACACCCACAGCAAAGCGTCACCATTAATATTAGTGCCAGCACATGATTCAAGAAAAGCCATCAGGATGGACTTTTCATTTATAGAAAGAGGACTTGGGGGATGAATCCTTTGCTTTTTTCTTTTAAATGTGTGTTTTTGACCAGGCAATAAATTCTCATGTTTCAAAAATTCAAAAGATTCAAAAGAGTGAGTAGTGAAAAGCTCCCCACAATGCCTGCCCCTAGCCCCCCAATTCCCCACCCCCCAGAGGCAACCAATGTTGTCAGCTTTTTGTGGCTCTCTGCAGATACAGAAGCAAAGGAAGCTATATGTGGGAATGGATCTTTCCAGTGTTGCCTGATCCATCACTGTGTGAGAGATGATCTCTGGATAAAAAGGTGCCTGGGCAGAGGGAGCAGGGCTGTCTCAACCCTATTGCTAACCAGCCCAAATCCTTAGGGAGTTAACAGATCTAGGTGTCGAAGGGAAGGCTTACCTGACATAAGGAGATAATGTCTGGCGCTAAGAAGCAGAGCTGATAAGTGAGCTGCTGTATGTCTAGGCTGCATAACGATTCACAGCGTGTTGATTTTCTCCAGGGTGGCTGGTGCCAAGGGCACTGCTATCTTCTACACGAGCAATTTTCTAAATTTGCAACCTTACGGTATTATTGTGTTAATTTGCTTAGCCTCAGCAGTGTTTACCAAGCCTTTTTCCTCTTAAAAGAAACATTGAAAACAATCTGAAAATCATAAGCATGATTTTTATAAGTCTCAGAGCCAAAATATTTCTCTCCTGGGATCAACTCTAATGATGTCATACAAATTAATGGAAAAAGAGCAGCAGACATCTGCTTTCCCACTAAGTTTTAAAGAATACCTAAGCAAGGGAGATTTATCTGACTGATATGAATATTTCATTTTTCCTTATCTGGAAAGACATTTTAAAGAGTGTTAGTCAATATTTTTCAGAAAACTTTTAAAGCTTATCCTTGATATCAGCTGTTACCAAAAAAAAAAAAAAGCCTATGATTTTCTCTTGAAATGCAGCTGATTCCTATTTGCATCTATTGATATTTACTTAAACAATGAAGATAAGAATAGACTATTTTATGGATTACAACAAGCATACTCTAAATTTATGCAGATAGGTAAATACAGCAAAATAGCCAACAGAATTCTGAAGTTGAAAAAATTTCTATCAGATAAGAAAACATTCTACAAATCTGTTCTAATTAAACAGTGTAATGGGAGAGAACAGCTCATTAGAGCAGAATAAAGAATCCAGAAAGTGACCCATGTGTATCTTAAAAGAAGAATTTCACATGAAAGGGAAATAAATGACATTGGGACAACTGACTATTGATTTAGAACAAAGTAAAGTTTGTTTACTCTCTTCAATCACACACACAAATAAATGCCCAATGGATGAAAGATCTAAGTGTAAAAAAAAAGCATATATAAAAATTAAAGATAATAGTTTTATAATCTTGGCTTTCCTCCCTAAGACACAAAACAATGAAGTAAAAAGTAACAATACACACAAATTAGAATATGCAAAAATTTAAACAAAAGACTACAAAAAGGTTAACAACAGATTGAGGGAAAGTATGGTGACACATGTAACAAAGGGCCAACAGTCACAATATCTAATGAGTTTTTGCTAATTCATATGAAAAAGACAAACAACCAAAAGAAAATTGGTCAAAACAAATCAAAGAATAAAAAATAAATGGTCAATAAAGATAGGTAAAGATGCGGAACCTTACAGAAATAAATGAAATAGGAGATTCTTGTTCATTCTTTAGAATATAGACCCCTCACCACCACCACCACCATGCCCCCAGCCCCACCAAACGCTGAGAAGGGTGAGTAGACCAGGCACGCTCATAAACTGTAGGTCACAGGATAGTCTTTCAGAATGAAAAAATATATATCCAGTTACTAGCAAATCCACTTATGGGACTACTACAGGAATACTGGTGTGTGTGCACAAAGATATATTTATAAAGAAAGTCACGGCAGCACTGTTTTAATAATGAAAAACTGAAAATTCCATAAACATCCATCAATAGAATAACCGTTCAATAACTTATGGTGTATTACCTAGGAAACGCCAGAGACTCATTCAAATAAATGAGATATATACTAATATGGGAAGATTTTCCGATGCGGTTTTGTGTGTGACTGAGAGGGTGTACATAAAGGCATGTGAGTACCTACATGTATATCATACACATATATACACAGGTTCACAAATGCACAGAAGCGTCTCTCAAAGGATCTACACCAAACTTTCACCAGTGGTCGCCTGTAAGAATGGGAATGAGGTTGGGGAAGGAGTGAAGGGCATTTTCATTTTTACTCAATAGATTTTGGTACTGTTTGAGTGTTTAATCAGAATCTTTGATCTGTATACATAACAAATAGATACATAAAAAACAGATTACATTACTTCTCCCTGCATCCTGCTGCTTCCTTCCTTGTTCACAGCGTACAACAGAAGAGAACCCCTTTCAGGATAAATATTTACTTTTCATAAAATGAGGACTCCCATAAAAACACATTTTTAAAATTTGATTATGTTCTATTTTAGTTTATTCTTCATATAATGTTATCAAATGCAAAAGGGGTTATCACCTAACCACAATGTCTAGAAAACTATGCAGAACTAAAGCTATGTGGATGATAAAGACTGGGCTGAGTGCACTCACACCTCTCAGGGGTCAGGATGCAACGACACAAACACACGCCACCTTCCAGTTGCCTGGAGGTCCCAGCCAGCTCGACGTCACCATAAATATCCAGCCACCTTATTATGATCAACTTTACTAGAGAAGTATGACCTCAGGTGTCAGATATTCACATGAAGTTTTCCTGACCCCAGAAGTGGAAGGGAGAAAAGGAGGAGACAAATAGGTCTGGCTCGAGGTGGGCATGTGATGGGTCCAAGAGTAGATTAGAATAGGATAAAGCCTTCAAATACAGGAAAACCCTGTGCCTTCAGGATGTCTGAAAGCCCTACATGCATTTACAAATAAACATGATGAAAACAAAGAAACGAAACAAAGAAAGAAGAGTTATCCTCAGGAGAAAGGGGGACCTTCTTCTGCATACCAGACATTATGATAGGAGCAACAGCTTTGGAGCAAATCAGGTCCCCATGAACTTCAGGGACAGGGTTTGCTATTAAATTATGAGGCTATACCACTGCTTCCTATATCATATGACCTGCTCCCCAACATGGAAGACTACCACCAATAGGAACCACTGCAGAAACAGTAGCATCATGATGTATGGCTGCCCTACAGAGGCTGTGTCTAGCCTAAAGTATCAGCATTTATTTTCTAGAAAGACCTACTGTGGTCATCATCTAATCATATGTCCTCATATGCTTTTTTTTGCTGGGGAAGACTAGCCCTGAGCTAACATCTGTGCCAATCTTCCTCCATTTTTTATATGTGGGTTGCCGCCACAGCATGGCTGATGAGTGGTGTAGGTCTGTGCCTGGGGTCTGAACCCATGAATCCAGGCTACCCAAGTGGAGCGCACCAAACTTAACCCCTAGGCCACGGGGCCAGCCCCCTGGTATGTTTTTTAACAATTCCATTTTTCAAGATTTGATTGGCATGAACATTTTTAGGAGTATCCCTGTTATATAAAGCAAAGCACATAAACCCATGAGAGAGAAGTGAACGAACACCTGTGAAGTTGGGGGTCAGAACACGTGATCACTCAGGTCCCTTCCAGTGTTAGCAGCCTGTGAAACTGAAGGGCGCTGGGAGCAAAACGGCAGGATTGTAGCAATCTTCTGCAGCACCAGTAAAAACTGGATTCTATTCTAAGTCATGTCTTCCGAAAATTGAGTTCCTGTGCTAAGTTACGTCTACTGAGAGCTCCAAGCAGACACATATGTGCCCACACTGGCTCTCACCGGCAACTGTTCTGGATGTAAAACATCAACTGAGTCTCTTCAAGAGCAGAATAAATGGTGCTTATTTCTGGCCCAGAAAATAAAACTAAGAAAGAAACCAAAATGTAGCCCTTAACAATGATTCAGACTTCTTTGAAAGAAAAAAAGGCTCAATTTTAGAAATGTTCATTAGATGGTGTCATGTTAAACTATATTTTAAAAAAATGTTAATTGTGGTAAAATATATGTAACTTAAAATTTATCATCTTAATCATTTTTAACTGCATTTTGTCTACCTACCTTGTAAACTGTCGACTCTCTTCATGAACTTCCATTTCTGTGCTTTTAAATTCATTTAGTTCTTTCCTTATCGCTGCCTAAATAAGAAAACACAGATCAACAGAATTGTTACTCAGGCCACATATTTCCTCAGCATATACAGCACCAATGAAGCAGAAATTCTGTTAAGAAACGTCTTGGAGAAAAGGATTCCTAATTTCTATGATAAAGATATGATTGGGTGGTCTAGTGGTTAAGATCATTGCTCTCACCCCTACTTCCCGGGTTCATTTCCCGGTCAGGAAACCACACCACCCATCTGTCGACTGTCATACTGTGGCAGCTGTGTGTTGCTGTGATGCTGAAAGCTGTACCACCAGGATGTCAGATACCAGCAGGGTCACCAAGGTGGACAGGTTTCACCGAAGTTCCCAGACTAAGGCAGGCTAGGAAGAAGGACCTGGCCACCCACTTCTGAAAAAAGTGGCTATGAAAACCCTATGAAGAGCAGCGGGGCATTGTCTGATAGAGCGCTGGAAGAGGAGAGGATGGAGCAGAAAGACCAGGCAGGGTTCCCTCTGCTGTCCACAGGGTCACTAGGAGTCGGAATGGAATTGATGGCACTAACAATGAAAGGTATGATAAATGTAGTATCGTACTCCAGCCAACCTGAAACCAGGATAAATTTCCTTCAAGTGTCTTTGACAAGGTGGAGAAGGAGGGGGCTTTGCTAAACTCCTCCTGGGACCTGATCTATGAGTCACACACAATATCCTCCACCCTAGATGACCACAGGGTCATGACCACAGGTCACCCACGTACAACAACACGGCTTTGACTAGCTGCCATAGAGTGCCTGAGAAGGCAGTTGCTATTTATTCTTTAATATTGAAAGTTTAGAGAAATAGAATTAAAAATTGAAGCACAACACTTAAAGCCACTCAAAGAAAAGATCAAGTAGAATGCTATTACTATTACTATTTCAAGAACACTTAATCCATGCCATGTAAATGTTGGGGTTCAAAGAGACACTTATGTCATTCAGGTTGAAAAGCTGAGATACTCATCAAAATGTTAACACAAGTTGTCTATTAACAATAGTGGCTGCAACACGGATGGTTTTTGGTTTCAACTTTGTGCTTATCTTTATTTCCTAACTTGTCTACAAAGAACATTTTCCTCACATAAATAAAAAAATACTAATGAAAACATCCCCATAACCTCTGTGAAAAACGAATGCTTCAGCTGAGCACAGAATGACATTACAAAAAACAGAGAATAACTTCACCAAGAGATAAGAAAATCTACTTAGTGGTTGGAAAATGACGAATTTTAGAAAAGAGAAAGAAGAAAACCCTGAGGCCTCCCTGGTTTTCTTCCATCACTTGCTGTTACTCTGCAATATACAAGCATTTCCCCCTCCACCTCTTACAATGTTGTATTTAACTCTTGTTGTCACAGATGGTCTCTCTTGTCAAACACACTCCTCAGCCCCTGTAGTTTCTACGTGGAGAACTGGGAATTGTGGCTGGGATCTGTGGCAATGATTCTTGCTACTGATTTTTGGAAGAGATGAAGCAAGCAGAGAGAGATTGTGGGCGCAAGTCCCCTGTGAGAAGACTACACAGCTCGTCTCACAAGTGAGACCAACGAGGACACTTTGTTTTACTCACTGTAAAAAGTGATACCCAGAACTGGGAATTGAAATAGTGAAGGTGCTCTATACTAATCGCCAATGAACATCTATCAAGAAAGTCTTCCTTGAAAGGAGATATTTTAATACGGATAGTGGCAGAGAATCCCGTCTCCACGTTCATTTTAAATCTCTCCTCTAAAGCTAAGGTTGCAGCAGAGGAAGTGGAAAGTAGTACACCAGAGTCAGAACTCATGCATTCTAGTCTCACCTATGCCTTCTATGGCAGGGTGACCCTCAGCAAGTTACTTTGCTCCAAAACCTGTTTTCCCATCTGGAAAATGGGGATGAGAATTCCTCACAATATTATGAGAATCAATTAAGAACATATTTAAAAGTGCTTCATACACTGTAAGTATTCAATGAAACATCATTGTGAGGCTTTCGAAAAATGAATTAAATTTTAGTTTGTGATTGTAACAATTCTTTCATTGTTATTTATAGACAGTCTACTATGTGCAAGAAGATAATGTCACTGAAGGAGACTCAGAGACTAACAAGGCAAGGTCCTTATTCTCAATAGTAGCTTGGCTACCAATCTAAGAGTCTGGCAAAAATCAAAGCATTCTTTGAGAATCAACTGGGATATGAAACGGACAAAAAAAGAGTACCATACAGTTTATTTTTAAATGTAAATTGTGTACTACACACCCTTTATATTAGTAACATTTACAATTCACTTATGACTATATGCATACATTTTCTCTGAAAGAGCCAGTTCAGTATTTACAGGCACATCCCACATGTGCATCTGCAATGTGACTTTGCCATTCCCTCATCAAGAGGTGGAGTGTCTCTCCAGCCTTGAATCTGGGTGAGTCCTGTAACTGCTTTGAACAGAACCCAGCAGATGCGAGGCTGAGCCAGTCCAGGATGTAGCCCTTAACTGGCCTGGCATCTTTTGTGTCCTTCTTCCTGTAAGTCAGCTGCCATGTAAAAAACATGACTACTCTTAGGAAACCACACTGTTAGCAACCCAAGGTACAAGGAGAGGTCCTGGAGGATGAGATGCCAAGACAGAGGGATAGAGACGCCAAGGAGCAATAAGGCAGATGTGTTAGTGAAGAAGCCGTGTTGGAAGCGGTGAGCAGAATAAGATGGTTGTTTTAAGTCACTAAGTTTTGGGGGGGGTTGTTACAAAGTAGTTGATAACCCAAATGCTATTCCAAGACTTTCCTCTTACAGATGATAAAATGGAGGCCAAGAGAGGTTGAGCGACTTGCTGGATATCAAATGGGCATTAAGGTACAAAGACGGGGCTCAGATGTAGGCCTTCTTATTTCAAGTCCCACACGCTTTCCAATAAAATGAGCTGCGGGGCCAAAGTCATCTAGATAACTGCCTCAGATCTCCATGTTGTGTGTACTAGTTTGTAACTAGAAATGATGAGTCAGTTATAGGCAATGAACGTGATGTGAAATTACAGGGACTGGTGGTTTGAAATATATATCAGTAGGATGTGACTACAGGCAATTAAAGAAATGGAATACTCATTTAAAAAACTCACTGAGGATTGACCACAGTTTTATTCCAAGAGTTACTTCCTCTTACTATTTAGACAGAAGGTTTCCTGAGAGGGTTACGAGAGGGAAAAAAGTAATTAAAGACTCTTTATGGTAGGGAAAGACATGTACAATAATCTTAACTCCCCTCTATGCAAATGAGACCAGAGTTTAGGCCTAATAACTCTTCACATTAAGTGTAAATGGGTCTGATTTTGCTGAGAGATATGGGATAGAAAGAGGTAGGCTGATGTAGGGGGATTTGGAGCCCGAAAGGTGCTGAGTGGGATCAACAATGGGAAATCACTGAGCTGAAACTAGGCATTTCTAAGATTGAAACAAAACAAGCCCCCAGGAGATTCCACTGAGACCAAGTACGTAACACAGTCGTGCATCGCTTAATCACAGGGATATGTTCTGAGAAATGTGTTGTTAGGTGATTTTGTCATTGTGCAAACATCATACGGTGTATTTACACAAATCTAGATGGCAGAGCCTACTAGACACCTAGGCTATATGGCAGTAATCTAATGGGACCACCATCGTATATGCAGTCCATCACTGACCAAAACGTCGTTATGCATTTTGGTCATAAAGACCAAAAATGACTGAAACTAAGTTTAAAATTGACTAACGATAACTAGCGATGGAAAGTCTGCTTAATCACTCCCAGTCAGTTCACGGGTCAGCTTGGCCAGAAGCAACAGGTGATTTGCTGAACACAGACCCTGTTGCCTTCTCAAATAACATGAGGCCAAGATTAATTAGAACTCCCATTATTTTGATGTCTTTTGCTTATTTCTTTCATAAAAATCTGACATGGAACATAGAGGGGATTTCTTGACTAGTCATCAGCTCAATGCCATGGGTAGGTAAGTGTGCTCTCCTCTGCTGCCCGGGCAACCATCGACGGAGCAAAGGATATCTGTGTACAGAATTAAAATTTCAGCCTTTCCCAGGACCTTTCTAGACAGAGCATTCCTGGGGGGATACCATGTTCAATTCATCTTTGTGTCCGCGGTCTAGGACAATACTTAATATATTGTAAAGCTTTTATTTTTTTTCTGCTTTATCTCCCCAAATCCCCCCTGTTACATAGTTGTATGTCTCAGTTGCAGGTCCTTCTAGTTGTGGCATATGAGATGCCGCCTCAATGTGGCCTGATGAGCGGTGCCATCTCCACGCCCAGGATCCGAACCCTGGGCCACTGCAGCGGAGCGCGCAAACTTAACCACTCGGCCACGGGGCCAGCCCCTATTGTAAAGGTTTTAATAAATGATTACTGATTAACTTGTTGGACAAATCCATGTATCTTCTGAAAAATTCTGGATTCTCTTTCACTGGACAATTTTAAACTAGATTGTAAACTGAGGCTTCAATGAATGGTGAAAATGTCACCAGCGGGGACAAATCTTGGATTATCAAGCCTGACCATGAATGTACCACTGCCAAGAGCTACTATTTATTGATGAGCTGGAACTCTATAAATATTCTACCTAATTCTCAAGACAAATATAACTGGCTCTACTATACTAGCGAAGAAACCTAAGTTAAATGACTTGGCCAACGTCAAACATCTACCAAGTGGCCAAGTCAGGAATCAAAACCGTTATGTGCCCACCTCTTCAAAGCCTGCCCTCCCTTCTCTACCACGGAGCTTCCGCAGTCTACCCCAGGGAGACAGCAACAGCCACCTGAGCCTTGGTCTGCAGGCCACCTTCAGAGCCTTCTCTCTCTACCGCTCATCTTAGGGCTCATTGATCTACTTCAGCACAGATATAGATATAAGCTATCTAGAGCTTACTGTATGCCTTTCTGTTTGTAGTGCTCTACTCAAGCACACACAGTCTAAAATTGAAATTTTTATTTTACAGGCGAATTAAGCTCAATCAAGTTCACAATT